AGAACATAACCCCAAACCTCCAACGCCAAACCTTATCCCCAGGGATATCAACTAGTACTTTAACTCCTTAACAGTACATAGCACATTCTATCATCCATCGGACATAGCACATATATATTAAACAAATCCTAGTCACCATGGATACCCACCTCAGATAGTGGTTTCTTGCTCACCATCCTCCATGAAATCAATATGCCACACAAGCTACTCTCCTCGCTCTGGGCCCATAACACTTGGGGGTAGCTATAGTGAACTGTATCCGGCATCTGGTTCTTACCTCAGGGCCATAAAACTAAGATCGCCCACACATTCCCCTTAAATAAGACATCTCGATGGATCACAGGTCTATCACCCTATTAACCAGTCACCGGAGCTCTCCATGTGTTTGGTATTTTATCTCTCGGTTGTGCCAGCATCCACATCGCGGAAGGCATGGTCTCACCACATCCTATGTCGCAGGATCTGTCTTTGATTCCTAGCACATACCATTATTGATCGCACCTACGTTCAGTATTCCAGCCGTGCATAACTACCATGAGGTGTTAATTAATTCATGCTTGTAGGACATAACAATAATTATTAAATAGGCTAACAACTGCTTTTCACACTAAATACTACAATAAAATTCCACAAATCCCCCCTCCCCCATCTTTGACCTCATTAACCCAGAAAAAGGCACCTTTGCCAAACCCCAAAAACAAAAGCCTCAATCCAATTCAGCCAGAGCCTAAAGTTTTATCTTTTGGCTGTATACAACTTTAACAGTTACCCCTCAACTAACACACCTTTTTTCTTTTAGTTTTATTCCGCTGCCTACCAAATTTAACTCCCCCCTTTACAGTGACTTCACTCAGCCTATATACCCGCCCACTACTAGATCCATACCCTAAACCACCACAACCCCAAAGACAGTACTTCACAACTATGCGCACACATGCCCTCTAAAACCCAATCTGGCCCCGTTTATACAGCTTAACTCATCTAAAGCAAGACACTGAAAATGTCTAGATGGACCTACACTGCCCCATAAACAGACACGTTTGGTCCTAGCCTTTCTATTAACTCTAGTAAGATTACACGTGCAAGTATCCCCACTCCGGTGAAATCATCCTCTAAATCGCTATGATCAAAAGGAGTAAGTATCAAGCACGCATTAATGCAGCTCAAAACACTTTGCTCAGCCACATCCCCACGGGAAACAGCAGTGATAAACCTTTAGCAACAAACAAAAGTTTAAGCTATACTAACACTTAGGGTTGGTTAATTTCGTGCCAGCCACCGCAGCCATATGATTAGCCATATGATTAACTCGAGCTAATAGAGACCGGCGTAAAGAGTGTTTTAGAATTACTCTCAATAAAGCTAAATTTCATCTCAATTGTAAAAATCCTAGCTGATATAAAATGAACTACGAAAGTGGCTTTAATATCTCTGAACACACAATAGCTAAGATCCAAACTGGGATTAGATACCCTGCTATGCTTAGTCCTAAACTTCAGCAGTTAAATTAACAAAACTACTCGCCAGAATACTACAAGCAATAGCTTAAAACTCAAAGGACCTGGCGGTGCTTCACATCCCTCTAGAGGAGCCTATTCTATAACCGATAAACCCCAATCCACCTCACCACCTCTTGCTCAGCCTATATACCGCCATCTTCAGCAAACTCTAGTAAAGGCCACAAAGTAAGCACAAATACACACATAAAAAAGTTAGGTCAAGGTGTAGCCCATGAGATGGTAAGAAATGGGCTACATTTTCCACCCCAGAAAATTTCACGATAGCCCTTATGAAATCTAAGGGCAAAAGGAGGATTTAACAGTAAATTAAGAGCAGAGTGCTTAATTGAATAAGGCCATAAAGCACGCACACACCGCCTGTCACCCTCCTCAAGTATATTTAAAGATTAACTTAACTAAATTCCCTTCGTATTTATATAAAGGCGATAAGTCGTAACATGGTAAGTGTACTGGAAAGTGCACTTGGATGAATCAAGGTATAGCTTAACACAAAGCACTCGGCTTACACCCAGAAGATTTCAATATAATTTGATTACCTTGAGCCAATTCTAGCCCCAAACCTAACCAATATTATTATCAAAGAACCTCAACTAAATCATTTACCCAATCAAAAGTATAGGCGATAGAAATTTTACCCCAGTGCAATAGATAAAGTACCATAAAGGAAAGATGAAAAAATTAACCAAGCATAAAATAGCAAGGACATACCCCTATATCTTCTGCATAATGAATTAACTAGAAATAACTTCGCAAAGAGAACCAAAGCCAAGACCCCCGAAACCAGACGAGCTACCCCAAAACAGCTAAAAGAGCACACCCACCTATGTAGCAAAATAGTGGGAAGATTTATGGGTAGCAGTGACAAGCCTACCGAACCTGGTGATAGCTGGTTGTCCAAGATAGAATCTTAGTTCAACTTTAAATTTATCTACAGAACCACTTAATCCCCTTGTAAATTTAACTATTAGTCTAAAGAGGGACAGCTCTTTAGACACTAGGACAAAACCTTATATACAGAGTAAGAAAACCCAAGTTCCATAGTTGGCCTAAAAGCAGCCATCAATTAAGAAAGCATTCAAGCTCAACACCTGAACACCTAAAATCCCAATTACATCACTGAACTCCTCACATCACATTGGACCAATCTATTACTTTATAGAAGCAATAATGTTAGCATAAGTAACATGAATAATTTTCTCCACTTCACAAGCCTACATCAGACCAGAATACTTCACTGACAATTAACAGACTAATATTAATAAATAACTAATAACCATTACTACTCGTACTGTTAACCCAACACACGCATGCTCTTAAGGAAAGGTTAAAAAAAAGTAAAAGGAACTCGGCAAATCTAACCCCGCCTGTTTACCAAAAACATCACCTCCAGCATTACCAGTATTAGAGGCACTGCCTGCCCAGTGACATATGTTTAACAGTCGTGATACCCTGACTGTGCAAAGGTAGCATAATCACTTGTTCCTTAAATAGGGACTTGCATGAATGGCACCATGGGGGTTTAACTGTCCCTTACTTTTAACCAGTGAAATTGACCTGCCCATGAAGAGGCGGACATAATATAATAAGACGAGAAGACCCTATGGAGCTTTAATTTATTAATGCAAACAAAACTATATAAACCCACAGGCTTTAAATTACTGCATCTGCATTAAAAATTTTGGTTGGGGTGACCTCGGAGCATAACCCAACCTCCGAACAACCTATGCTAAGACTACACCAGTTAAAGCGAATTACTATGCACAATTGACCCAATAACTTGACCAACAGAACAAGTTACCCTAGGGATAACAGCGCAATCCTATTCTAGAGTCCATATCGGCAATAGGGTTTACAACCTCGATGTTGGATCAGGACATCCTAATGGTGCAGCCGCTATCAAGGGTTTGTCTGTTCAATGATTAAAGTCCTACATGATCAGAGTTCAGACTGGAACAATCCAGGTCAGTTTCTATCTATTTTATATGTCACTCAGTATGAAAGGATAAGAGAAATAGCGCCTACTTCACAAAGCGCCCTCTCCCTATAGATGATATATTCTCAATCTAATCTAATATCACACACCTACCCAAGAGCAGGGTTTGTTAAGATGGCAGAGCCCAGTAATTGCATAAAACTTAAAACTTTACAACCAGAGGTTCAACTCCTCTTCATAACAGCATGCCTGTAACCAACCTCCTACTTCTTATCATACCCATACTAGCTGCCATAGCATTTCTCACACTCATTGAATGAAAAATTCTAGGCTACATACAACTGCACAAAGGACTTAACATTGTAGGCCCCTATGGACTATTGCAACCCTTCGCTGACGCAATAAAACTCTTCACCAAAGAACTCTTAAAAGCCTCAACATCGACCGTCACCCTCTACATTACCACCCCAGCCTTAGCTCTCTCCATCGCCCTTCTCCTATGAGCACCCCTCCCCATACCCAACTCCCTAATTAACTTCAACCTAGGCCTTTTATTTATTCTAGCCACATCCAGCTTAGCCGTCTATTCTATTTTACAGTATTGAAAATTAGGACCTAAACCGAGCATTTGACATTGAATTCTATGACACGTTAAAGCATGTCACTGTGTTAAGTTAACAGTGCAAGACAGGTGGAATGATTATCTGTTAAGCCCATGGAATCTTCTTGGGAGCCCCTTCAATTTCTGCTGTCACATTCCACCAAGTTATGAATATGAACAATTCCTTGGATACTTTCTTATCCTGAACTCTCCTTGAAAGTGAGATGCTTTTAGAAACTACTTTTGATCACTCCCTTGTATCAACCAGAAAATGAACAAAAATTCTTAACACGAGTAGTCCCTCATGACTCTCATTTGCTTGCCTTGGGAAAACCTTCCCCACCTACCACAGGTATTTCCTCCTTTGTGTTCTCATCTTTATTAAAAGATGCCTCATAAAGTATTTGTGCCTCATAAAGTATTTGTGCCTCACCAGATGCACCCTGAGTTTCTTCAGGTAACAACTGTGTTATATCCATCTTGACAGATCTAGCACCTAAGAACAGGCATTAGGAAAGTACTTGATAAATGTTCAGTGGATGGATGCATGAGTGAGTGAATGAATGATTGAACATCCTGTGACCCAGGGCTCTAGGATTCCAGACAGGCACAATTTCGAATCTTCCAGTAAACCATTTCACTCAAGCAAACTAATAACTGGAAATCACAGAATATCAGCTCTGGAAGGCCCCTGAAACATCACATTCGACACTTTTATTTCTGAAATGAGGAACTCAGGTTTGAAGAGAAGAGACTTACCCAAGGTGGCTTCTGCATTCCTCTCCACTTACCCCTCAACCACTCTTGGGTACAAGTGCTTCATTCTTCTAACCTTGAGCTCTAATGTAGTTTCCAAGGCTTTTTAAAATTGAAATTAATGACTGATCTGCAAAGAAGCCTGTTAGTGTTACCATTATCTAGGGACCTTAAGAAACACTCTGGCGGTGGAGAGAGGCAGAGACAATGAGATCATCATAGTGTCTGTAGTTATCAATAGGGATCTTAGTTCTTTCCCTCTGTGAAGACTCTCTGCACTGAATGGGGAATTTTAAAAGCCTGTGGTTTGCAATAAGATCCATCACTGCGGCTCAGTCAGGCCTATTGTTCATTGCTGCTCACTGCAAGTACAAAGTGGGACTCAGATAAACGTGGGTTGATATTGAATAAATATACATATACCATCAGCAACATACAATTAGCTCAGTCACAGATAGTGCAACTCATACCCAGCCGTGTGCTGCAGCCAAGAACTTGGCAAAATCTCACCCCTGAAAGTTATTAAGGTGTTGAATTCTTTACAAAGAGGCTTTATCGAAAAAGATTTCTGTACAAAGTATGATTCACCAGCTTACCAGAGAGGAAGCAACCGGACATCACATCAGTGGTCCTGCCTAGGCTTTTTGGTTATTGCTCTTCCTTTTAGAAAGCAAGGATTAGAGGTTTGAGAGCAGAATTGTTTTATTTTTTTTTCTTTTCTTTGAGACAGGGTCTCATTCTGTCACCCAGACTAGAATGTAGTGGTACAATTATTCAATCATTGTTCACTGTAACCTCAAACTCTTGGCCTCAAGTGATCCTCCATGCTCAGCCTCCCAAGTAGCTGGGATTACAGTTGCATGCCACCAACCCAGGCCAATTTTTTTAATTTTTTATTTTGCATATTGACAAAGTCTGCTATGGTGCCCAGACTGGTCTCAAACTCACGGCCTCAAGTAATCCTCTCATCTCAGCCTCCCGGGTTGCTGGGATTACAAGTACAAGCCTCTGTGCCTTGCCTTTTTTCATTTTTGTATCTCCAGTGCCTCAAACATAGTAGGAGTTCAATACATGTTTTATAAAATAATAAGTCAACAAATAAAAGAATGAATGTACTCATTAAGATTACGTTTACTGGTACATCACTGAAAACCAAAATGAGAGGTTCAAACAAGATACAGTTTTCTCTCTTCTGCACAAAAGAGAGCTAAGAAATCCAAACTGATATAATGTCTCTGCAGTCACTAGGGAGCCAGGCTTATTTTATCTTTGCACTGCCTCCTTATTTACTCAAGTTTGCCTCCAGATCAAGGAGGCTGCTAGCGCACCGGTCATTAAATCTAGAATGAGGGCAGAAAGAAGAAAAAGAAAAATGCACCCCACCTAGTTAAGTGAATCTCTTTTTTAAAAAACTTAAGAATTTTTAAGGCCGGGCACAGTAGCTCAGGCCTATAATCCCAGAACTTTGGGAGGCAGAGGCAGGCAGATGACGAGGTCAGGAGATTGAGACCGTCCTGGCTATGGTGAAACTCCATCTCTACTGAAAAAAAAAAAAAACTACAAAAATTAGCCAGGTGTGGTGGCAGGCGCCTGTAGTCCCAGCTACTCAGGAGACTGAGGCTGGAGAATGGTGTGAACCCGGGAGGCAGAGCTTGCAGTGAGCTGAGATCATACCACTGCACTCCCGCCTGGGCGACAGAGCAAGACTCCATCTCAAAAAAACCAAATTTTTAAAAAATCTCTTGTTGTTGTTGTTTTTATTATGGTAAAATATACATAATAGAATTTATATGTGAACTATTTTTAGATGTACGGTTCAGTGGAATTAAGCACATGTCCATTATTGTGTAGCCACCATCATCATCCATCTCTAGAACTTTTTTATCATACCAAACTAAAATCCTGTACCCAATAAACATTAATTCCCTATGCCCCTCTGTATTAGTCTATTAGTCTATTCTCACACTGCTAATAAAGACATACCCAAGACTGGGTAATTTATAAAGGGAAGAAGTTTAGTGGATTTACAGTTACACATTGCTGGGGAGGCCTCACAATCATGGTGGAAGGTCCAGCAAAGGCACATTTTACGTGGTGGCAGGCAGGAAATTTGTGTAGGGGAACTTCCCTTTATAAAACCATCAGATATCATGAGACTTACTCACTATCACACAAGAACAGCACAGGAAAGACCCACCCCCAGGATTCAATTACCTCCCACCGGGTCCCTCCCATGACACATGAGAATTATCTGAGCTACAATTCAAGAGGAGATTTGGGTGGGGACAGGGCCAAACCGTATCACCCTCTCCCCCAGTCCCTGGCAACCATCATTCTAACTTCTGTCTGTAAACTTGAATACTCTAGGTACCTCAGATAAGCAGCACGATACAATATCTGTCCTTCTGTGGCTGGCATATTTTACTTCGGTGTGAGGACCTCAAGGTTCATCCATGTTGTTGCACATGTCAGAATTTTCTTCCTTTTTAGAACTGGACAATATTTGGTTGCCTATAGATACCATATTTTGTTTATCCATTCATCTGTCATGGATTTGGACCTTTTGTCTATTGTGAATAATACCGCTATCGACATTGGCGTAGATTTCTTTTAAAGAGCTTAATAGAAAGTCCTGCCTTCTCCTTTAATTGGCCACCCCTAACTACAAGAGAATTTAGGGTAAGCAGTATCTTACCTGGACACATTTGCAGTCCCAAATGATATACTCCACAAATAAAAAAGAGAGATAGAGGGCACATTGTATAGGGAACCAGCAGACCATGCCACTCTGCTAAAGAGTATGAGTCTCATCAAAGTATCTATGGATTCTTAAGAAATTCCCAATGCGCTCCCATGCCTGAACTTTCCTCCGAGACAGTTTGTCTGTGGGCAAAAGGACTATATCTCCAGAAAGCCTTTTCCCTTAAAAGACTGGCATGTTCATGCCTGAATAAGCAATTCTGCTGTATGTTTTAGGAGCATTTTCACATATCTGTTCTCTCATCTGAAGACCTACATTGGCAATGCCCTGTTTAACATCCCCTCTTGAAAATCCACTGGCATTTTTACTCAACAGATCAGAAAAGATAATTTTCTTCCCCATGCTCCTCACCTCCCAACCAGTTCTTCCCTCTGACTTCTTTATTTCAAGTCAAATAGATTCTCTTCCTATAACCATAAAGAGTCTTTAATATAATAGTTTATATTGTGAAGCTCCAAAAGAAAGATTTAGACTAGAACACTTTTCAAATGTATTTGTCCAAGGAACCCTTTTCCCATTTATGAATTAACTCACGGGACAGGTGTGCTGAGCAACACATTATGGGGAAACAGCCAACAAGCCTGGAAATGCAAAATCATCTTCAAGTTCTTACCTTTAGTGATTTCCAAGTCACCTCAGTTCTGCCACCACAAAGTCTCTCTCACCTCTCCATTCCCTCCCTTCTCTGCCTTCCATTTCGACAGTCACCATTCCATCTTTCTCAGTATGACTTCTACCCCGAGCTAGGGTTTTTGCTTCATTTATCCATTCCACAAACCATACACCAGCTACTGTGTTGGGCACGAGGGATGCAA